AAATATATATATATATATATATATATATATATTTTCAGTGTGTGTTCAGCTCTTGGTTTAATAATTTTTATTTTCATTTTTAATATAAATAGAGCAACATATTCAATATCCATATCAACAGTGTGTTGGCTGGTTACAATTCGTTTGAGTAATACTCATCATAATTTCTAATAGTAATCTTGTAATGACAGTGCTTTTCCCTCATATATTAATACATAATAATAATCAAAATTAATAAGTTACAATAATTAATCCTAATAGCAAAATTAATCTTTCTATTGTGATTTTAGAAGTTCTAACTTCTGTTTCTCTTATTTAACCATGTTTATTCATTTCTGCACATTCTAAGACTTTTGTTATTATCTTTTCTGTAGAGATCTCATCATTCAATGTTGTGCAAACACGATTCTGGCTGCTGTTAACACATGTACTATTAAATATACATTCCTTTTACTGTATTTATTGTATTTTTCTGTATTTTTCTGGTATGCCCAACAGAAATATTTCCAGTTTTAAATTTATATGTTCCTTTTATCATTTTTTCTATCCAGGTATGTATTTTACTTCATTATTTTTTTTTTGCTTTCACGCATGTCCACCAAATGTGGTAGTACAAGGCCGGGATATGGTTTCATTCCAACACTTGGCAGTCATATTCTTAAACATTTTAGCTAATCTTGCTGGAGAGAAGTGCCATCTATAAAACATTTTGTATAGGTTTTTATTATATGCAATGGACATTGTCAATTTATAGTTTCTATCCCATAACTGTTGCCATGTGTCCAATTCTATAGAATGCCCAAAGTTTTTAGCCCATGCTATCATGATTTCTTTTACTTGTTCCTCTTCCATTCTAATAGTCAATAGATAATTACAATTTTTTAAAATCAGTTTCTTCTCCGGTCCCATTAAGATTTGATCCAATTCTTTTGGTTCTTTATTAAAACCATATGTTTTAGCATCTTTATAATATCTAGATCAGTGGTCGCCAGCCAGTGGGCCGTGGTCCATGAGAAAATTTTGGTGGTCCGCAGAGAAATGTCATCCCCAGAGCACTCCCCAAAGCAATTAATTCAGGCTGCACAGGAACACAAGGCTGTGCAGCCCACATGGCCCATGGGAACCCTTCCCACCCATTCAACTTGCCTGCTAAGTTGCTATTTTTTATTTTTCACTGACCATCAGCGGTTCTGCTGTGCTGGGAGATTTAGATTAGATAGAAAGCAGCAAATCGTTGGACTTCTTGCTTTCTAGCTAATCTTTAGATCTTGGCTCTGCTTTTTTTTTTTAAGCAAATTTTATTAATTTTACAAAACAATATACAGACAAACAAAACATAAAATATAATAACATATGAAATCTTTTTCTGAAAAAACCAATACAACATCTTATTTAAAGACAGAGTAATTCCAAAATATCACATTTCCATATAAACACAATTTAGTATATATATTTACCTTATCTGTTCAACTTCATATCTTATCCCAACTCTCTTTATTACTCCCTTTCCTTCTATTTATTCAAATTATATCTCTTTTACTTTAGATTGTATACATTTTTTATATCCATCTGTCTTATTTATAATTTCATTGTTCTCTTCCAATACACAAACAGACAAAACATAAAACATAAAAAACATAAAACATTTTTTCTGAAAGTTGCTTGATCTCGGGTTAAAACTCATCGTACAGACACAACTTCAAAAATCATGTTCCTTTTATATACCATTCCATATCTTATTACCATTTTCTATATAGCTTCTTCCTTCTTTTAACTCTTAGTTTTATTCTACTTATCTCATCTCAGTTCAAATCAAAATACTTGTCATTCTTTGTCTGTTCTCAGCTATCCATTCATCTTTTCTCTTTAAAGAAAACTTCTCCTGTACACTGATTGGAGTATGACGCCTTTAACTCTTTCCCCTAACCTAATAATACTTAATATCACACATAACTTGTACTGGGATTCTGTTTAGTACATTCTAAAATTACACAATGTATTATATAGAAAGAAAAAAAGAAAAAAAAGAAAGAACAACAACAAAAGAACAGATTTATAGATATATAATGTGGCTAGTACCACTGTCAATACCATTAAAAAATTAATCATATATCTTAATACTCATTTATATCTTAAGCATTTTATTCTAAAAAACACATATAAAAACACAATCTTATGTACCTTACAGAATCCCTTTTTCAATTAAATTTACCCATTGTCTCTAAATGGATTTTGTTTCTTAAATCTTGCTTCCCATCATTAAGGCTTCTCATCCCTTCCTTTCTCCCTTGCTTATTCTTCTCCTTACCCTTTTTACCCCTTTGTCTCTCCACCTCCCTTTTCTTCTTCTGCTTTCCCCCTTTCTGTTGTTTTCTAACCTTATATCCACCTTTCAACTCATTTTTATCTTTTTTGGTTGTCTTTTTAAGTCTTAAAATCCCCTTTTTCTTTTCTTCTTTCTTCTCCTCCCCAAATAAAATCACATGTTCATCAAAAATGGCTTCTTCTTTATCCCAGTCGTCCTGCTGCGCAATCGATTCTCCATAAATACGTACCGCCATTTCTAGAAATTGAAAAAGAGTGCCCAAAGTATCTTTCCATTCTTGTTCTTCCTTTTTATATTTTTGATATTCAGTTTTTGATTCATCCACAGATAATGCCATTATAAAGAGAAAAAAGTTTTCCCAAAACAGCCACCAAAGTACTTTTAAGCAAAAATAATTCCCAGAAGATCCAAAGTCACCAAACAATCCAGATAAACTATTTCTTTTTGCACTTTTTCCTTTCTTCCATTTCTTTTTCTGGGGTTGAGTCACAAAGTTCCAATTAGAATATGTCTTTTTGAAGTCTTATTAATGTCCAAATAGCTCTTTGAAATTCTAGGCAGTCTCCTCCTTATTTTCAAATTCTACTCCAATTTTTTTTCCTCTCCCTTCCCACTTACAGCATAAAAAGATTTTTCTTTAGATATTCAGAAATCCATATCCCCTTAGTATTAGCATAGTCTTTAGCATTTAGCATACCTCCAATGCGGGTTTTCCGATTTCTCATAAAGTTCTATCACTGTTCCGTTTGGAAGGAGAGTGAAAAGAAAAAAAGTTTTCCCTTTAATATCCATTCGCCACTTGTACAATCTGGGAATAATGTATCTTTAGTAAATATTAAATATCAGGATACTTTCACTGTTGCTTTGTCCCTGTCAGCAAAGATCACTTTCACTTCTTCACAGCTCCTCCTGCACTTTCTCTTTCCGGCTGAGCTCTTCTATGTGGCGGCCATTGCTGACCGCCGCTCAGCTGCCTTCGGAAAAGGGGATTTAGCCGGCTAGGGAAGAGAGATGCGATGTCTCTCGTCCCTGCCAGAGCCCCCCTGTCTTCACCACCTTCTGCAAAGGTGGCTTAGCCCCGAAGCCGGATGGCTCGGGGCACTCGGGCAGTGAACCAGGCAGAAACCGCGCACAGTCGCGGATTCCTGCCTGCACCGAAGCGCTGCAGACCGGAAGTTCAGATCTTCAGCTCTGCTTTTTAACCTTCCTTAGGACTGAAGCTTCTATTTGTCAGTGCAGATTCAGGTAGTTGATGGCAGAAAAACAGATCTCTGTGATTTTGTGAGCAACTCAATCTGCCTGCCTGCTTTGCCTGATTTTGGGTAAAAATTGCTCTTTTTTATAAAAAAAAAAATCAATATTTACAT